AAAACACCTTTGAAGAAAGAAGACAAAGACTTTGTTTTTTATAGGATAAACAAAAGTTAAAAGAATGCAACAGACTTGCATAACAAGAAATGTTGAAGTTCAAGCAGAAGAAAATAAAGATACGTACAATGAAATGAAGATCATCATAAATGGTGACAATGAGCATACATATAAAAGACTTTTTTCTATTTTTAATTTTAAAAAATATAATTGACCACCTAAACCGACAATAATAACAACGTATTGTGGGATATATAACATAGGAGTAAGATGCGTGACAACCATAGCACAAAAGATGGGGGAAGAAACGTAAGTATACTGTTATAAAGTGTTTATACTATATATGAATTGGTGTATTATTGTTTGAACATAGACTGTGATAAGCCAAAGAGCTATATTGTATACCGTTCAGCAGCCAAGCGGGGGGAGGGTGGGGGGGCATGGGTGGATGGACAGATAGACAAACATAATTAACCACTCATTAGTGGAAATGAAATGGAATCATCAATCCAAAAAAGCAGAATGAGAGGGAAAAAAGGAACAAAGAACAGATGGGAAAATAAAAAAAACAACAAACAAGATGATTCCAGTCATGCCAATAGTTACATTAAATGTAATTGGTCTGAACAATTAAAAGGAAGAGATTTTCAGATTGGATGAAAATGCAAGGCCTAATATATGCTATCTATAAGAAAGCCATTTAAAATTAATATATAGGTAGGCAAAAAGTAAAATTATATACCATGTAAACAATAATCAAAACAAAGCTAGGGTGACTATTACATCAGAGAGTAGAATTTAGAACAAGGAATATTTACAGGTGATAAAGAGAGATGTTACATAACAAAGGGGTCAATTAATCAACAAGACATTGTAATTCTAAAAGTGTATGTAGCTAATAATAGAGCTTCTAAATGTCTAAAACAAAATATATAGAAGAATTTATAACATTAAATGTATATATTAGAAAGGAAAAAAAATTCAAATCAGTGGTGTAAATTTCCAATTCAAGAAACTAGAAAAAGAACAAATTAAAGCCAAAGCAAGCAAAAGGGAGGAATAATAAAGATCAGAACAAAAATCAATGAAATAGAAGAGATAAACAGAGAAAATCAGTGAAACTAAAATAGATTCTTTTAAAAGATCCATAAAATTTGTGAACTATTAACAAGGTTGAACAAGAATAAAAGAGAGAAGAAACAAATTACCAACACCCAAGAAGAGGAGACAGTACTATAGATTCATAAACATTAAAAGGCTGCAAGGGAAGGGGCACCTGGCTGGCTCAGTCAGTGGAGCATGTGACTCTTGATCTTGGGGTTGTGAGTTTGAGCCCCATGTTGGGTGTAGAGATTACTTAAAAAAATAAAATCTTAAAAAAAAGGTGGTAAGGGAAAATTATGACCAACTTTATGCCAATAAATGTGATCACTTAAAAAAAAATGACAGATTCCCTGAAAGACACAAACTATTGAAGTTCACTTAAGAAGAAAGAGATAACCCAAATATTCCTGTGTCTAGTAAAGAAATTGAATTTGTAGTTAAAAACCTTCGCAGAAAGAAAACTACAGGTCAAGTTGACTTTATTGGTGAATTCTACCAAACATTAAAGGAAGAAATGATAGCAATACTATAAAAACTTCCAGAATACAAAAGAGGAGGAAAACATTCCCTAACTCATTTTATGAGACTGATATCTCTTATGAATATAGATGCAAATATCCTCAACAAAATACCAGCAAACTGAGTCCAACAACATATAGAAAGGATTATATATCACGACTGAGCAAGATTCATTTCAGGAATGCAAGTTGACTTAACATGTGAAAATCAATTAATGTAATATATCAGTAGAATAAAAGAAAATCTGCATGATAATGGTAATTTCGGGAGATGTAGAGAAAACATTTGACAAAACCCAACACTGTTTTGTGATAGGAATAGAGGTTCACATCTTCACCCTGATAGAAGGCACATATGAAAAACCCACATCTAAAACATATATAATGGTGAAAGACTGGATTTTTCCCCCTAAGATCAGGATTAAGACAAGGATGTCTGCTCTCACTACTTCTATTCAGTATTGTAGTAGAAGTTCTAACCAATGCAATTAGGCAAGATAAAGAAATAAAAGGCATCTAGGTTGAAAAGGGAGAAGTAAGACTATCTCAATTTGCAGATGACATGGTCTTGTATACCGAAGATCCTAAGGAATTCACACATACAGACCCTATTTTAACTAGTAAGTGATTTCAGCAAGGTTATAGAATACAAGGTCAATATAAAAACTACACTTTTATTTCTCTACACTAACAATCTGAGAATGAAATTAAGAAAACAATTCCATTTATAATAGCATCAAAAGATGAAAATATATCTCACCGATATGAGGAATTCTTAATCTCAGGAAACAAACTGAGTTTTGCTGGAGTGGTGGGGGGTGGGAGGGATGGGGTGGCTGGGTGATAGACATTGGGGAGGGTATGTGCTATGGTGAGCACTGTGAATTGTGTAAGACTGTTGAATCACAGACCTGTACCTCTGAAACAAATCATACATTATATGTTAAAAAAGAAAAAAAAGATGAAAATACATGGGAATAATAGAAAGAAGTGCAAACCTTATACCCTGAAAACTACAAATCACTGTTGAAAGAAATTAAAGAAAAGCTAAATAAATGGGAAGACATCCCACTTTTATGGAGCAAAAGACTTAATTTGTTCAGATATATCTGTATATCTATACTCTCTCCACGTGCACACGCATACATACATATAATAAATATAAGATCTATTTTTAACTTCAGGACAAGTGCCCAGACCTTTAATGACTATGTGTAAAAAAACACATTTTTTCTGAAGTTGAGTGATTACTTTGGTCACAGTTTCTCCTGTTAAATTTAATTAAAATTAAATGTAACAGTTTACATTTAAAACTGGCATGCATAACACAATCTCAGTTTTTGGAAAATGATTTTTATCTTTCTTTCCTTGATACGTATGTATAGGGATACCTGGGTTATCGTTCAATAAATGTTAACTAGTTGTTTCTGTGTGGTGGAATTTTGAGATGATTTTTTATTTTCTTTCTGTGCTGTACTGAATTGGTTTTGCTTTAAAGTAATCACAGCATTTTTAAAAATTAAAAGCTATGCTTGAAAGCCAATGAAGGCTAATATTTTAAAAGTTTAAGTGTTGGGCCTCCAAGTAGAGATGTCAAGGAAGTAGTTGAATATATGAGTCTAGTGTTCGATGGGAAAGTCTGCAGTAGAGAGGATAACTTTGGGAGTGGGCAGCATAGAGATGATTTCTGAAACTCAGAGGAATGGGTGAGCTCATCCTCTTGTAAGAGAGACTTACAAGAGCCCGCGCTCTTTGCATGTGCAGCACTTGGAGGATGCGTTGGGGAGGAGCCTGCAGTTGAGCCAAAAATGACAGTTCGCAGGGGTAGGAGGAACACCTACCTCTTAGCACTCACAGAGCCAAGTGCTAAGTCGGGAAGGAGCCAGGCAGTTTTGATAAGATGTTGGGATACAGTTCAAATGCAAGGGTTGCCCACCTGGATTTCATCCCACAACATCTGTTCATTGTGCACTTGTCTTTGCTGTTTCCCGAAGCTCGAAAGTTAGAGAAGCAGGAATTGCTTCCACTCCATACAGAGTATAATTCTGAGACCTCTAGAACGTTTGGGCTTTGGCTTACAGCTGGGTCTTTGAAGGGCTGCTGACTTTCAGCAGATGTGGACAGCATGTTTGGAGAACACTTGTAGGGTTTTTAAATGGGCCACAAGTGGCTTCTGTTTGATAAATGCTTTGTTTGACTTGCCAGTTTAAAGCTGGTAGCTTCTCTGATAGCAGGTATGTGTTTACCCTTCACTATAACCCACTCGCTTGAAGGTCTTGCTCCTGATTAGTTGGCAGTCTTTCTTGTGGGGCTAAAAATTTAGACCTTTAAAAGCTCATTATCTGTTGACAAAAGATCAAGTTTTGGGAGAGAGAGAGCTTAGTTTGTTTTTCTCCGAGCTCCCCTTGAGAGTCCATAGGCCTTGGCTTTGAAGCCTCAGGAGTTCACCCTCCCTGGGGAATTTCGGGGCCCATGCCAATCACAGCGCTTCTCAGCTCAGCTTCCTTTGGAGTTCATCGAGCTTATGTAGGGCTGGAGCTGCCGTCAGCCTATCCGTGATCTCTGCCATTGGTGGATGATGACTTCTCCGGCCTGTTGCTGGGACCTGTTTCTGTCTCACTCTCTGTCAACATCCTGGCACCCAGCAGAGCCCTCAGTGCTCCGCCTGGCACTGAGCACCCCTCAGCACCCTTCCGTTCCAGGAGAGCCCCGCATGCCCGGCTCAGAGGTGTCATTCTCTCAGCTGTCCTAATCTTTGCGCTCACTTCTGCACCAGTCCCCATGCACCGATGTTGGTGTGAGGAAGCTGATTTGTCAGGTTGTCAGGTCGTGCAGCGCGTGTAGAGATGCGGTTTGAAGGGACTAGGCTTGGATATGGATCTGATTAGTTTTCCGATTTTCTCCCCTTCCAGGTAATACTTACCAATATTCAAAACAGAAGCCCTAAGCCCGGCCCTGCTCCCCACGATCAAGAACTAGGTTTTTTCCTAGAAACAGGACTTCAGAGAGCCCATGTCCTCTATTTCAAAAATGGGTAAGCCTTCTTCGTTTTTTAACTCAGGTTCCTAAAGAAGGAAAATAGAAAGCCTCACCATGCTGTCTCCGGTTTAGCTATTGTATAAAAGCAATTTTGAACATGAACTGCGATTGGAAGAGTTTTTTAAAATCATGAATGTAGGCTCTTTTGTCTCTTCTCCCCTGGCTCTCTCCCTTTGCCATGAGGTCTGAACGTGGGAGAAGGGAGGAAGGAGGCCTCCTTTGTGAGGAGGAGTCACAGGTTCGAAGCCCCAGCTCAGCGGGTGGGTCTGCTGGGAGTGAGCTTTCTGCCACCCCTCCTCCTCGGCAGTGATACCGCACAGACCAGCCCCTGCTGTTGGGGGACGAGTCAATGACTTGGAAATCCCAGCACACAGGGTCATCTCCTGAGCAGCTTCTCAGTTCAGAGAATTGGGTCTGCCAAATCTCCAACGGTTTTTAGGAAAGTGAGGGTGGTTCTGACATCACACGGGCACATTTTCCACTTGAGCTGCCTTTGCAAAGGATTTAGGAAAGTTTACTGACGTGAACGTGAGGGATAGCTCTCTGGTCATTTGACATTTGTTTTCCTTTTTGTGTTGCTCTTTTGAGGAAGGTGATGATTCTGTTACAGATCTCTTCAGCTGTCCCTTGTTTTGACCTTGTGCTGCAGGATAGATGTGCATGAAGACCCACAGTAGGTATCTGGCTTCTCCGTAGCTCCTCGTAGGCCTGTTCCTCTTCCTCTAGGAATAGCCAAGTAGCACTTGGAACCACAGAGGGGACATGAGTCCCAGCCTTTGGATAAGTGAACGGTGGAGTTGCTCCCTCTTCATTTTCAAGAACTTCAAACCTTGGGGCATAGCTCATGGGAGTGGCATTTCTTCTGTTCGCTGGCTCAGAGCCACATGCAAACATTTCTCATTTGTTGCCTGCAAATGCTTATTTCTTCAAATCCCGTTAAACTGTTGGTGGAGAAGGTCTGCTTGGCTCCGAAGACCATTGGTTCAGATTGGCATGGCGTGTGAAAGGCCACAATAACACCCCAAGGTTTGGACTGGCTTGAGGCCTTGGTGGCCAGGAAGATGCTTCCGAGTTTGATCTCATCTGCCACTGACTGAGATCATCTGAGCAATAGTGCATGTCCTCTAAGCTGAATTTTTAGTTCTCTTTCCTATGATGCTATAAATAGAGGGACAAGGGAGCGAACACGGAATATTTTTTTGAGTGATTTGTTTCTTCTCCCTTTTAACAATAAATGGTGGTCATCACAGCAGAACCCCAACCTTGCTCTCTCTCCCTCTAACCTGTAAGTGTATGTGGTTGACTCCCATATGCAAGTCCGGAAGCAGGAGTGCATTCCCTTGGGGCTCTCAGGGGTGCCGAACCAATACCTTCTACTGAAAGCATTTTGTGTAAGATTGGTAAAGGTGGACTGGATAATTTATTTTCATCTGAAGCCTGCTCACTGAAGAGGAAGAAGCTAGTCCTCTTGGGCTCTGACCTCCTGCCCTGAAATGCTGGCTGCCCACTGGAATCCAACTAAAAAATAATGATGAGAGGTTTGTCCTAGAAGATGGATTACAGGCCAGGAATTGCTTAGCGGCTCATTTCTCTTTTTATTTTACCCAAGTTCAAGGAGATTCCCATTGACATGGCCAAAGTGAAGAGACTGCTTAACTTTGAAGCCTTTTCTCCTCCTTTCTTGTCCTCTTGCTCTTCTCTTTGGGTTCCAGAGGCCAGTGATAGGGTTGGCCAGCTTCTCTAGAGGGTCCTCGCCAGCTGCAATGTCCTTTGCAGCAGTAATGAGAGATTACTTTGGGGTAGATGGAGGTGAAGGCCAGTTCGGGGACCACAAGCTGTGGATGAAAAGAGAGAGAGCAGCAGGAGGTTTGGGCCTGTCCAGTGCTGCTGCCAGGCTGCCTGACTTAGAGCAGTGGGTCTCTCGGGGCCCAGGAGCCCCGCCTGCGTCATTGTCAATGGACGTGCACGGCCAGGATCTCTGTGGAGTAGGTGGGGGCATGTGGAGGTAGCTGCTGTCCCTAAGCACCAATGGCTTCCCACATCCCATCTTCTGATGTGTTTGCTCCTTTTTGCTTTTCTGTACTTAATTTTTTAAATTATTTTTATTTTTATTTATTTTTTAGGTGCAGGGGGAGAGAGAGAGAGTGGCAGGGAGGGGCAGAGGGAGAGGGAGAGAGAAAATCTTAAGCAGGCTCCGTGCTCAGCAGGGAACCCAACATGGGCCTCGATCTCACAACCCTGAGATCATGACCTGAGCTAAAACCAAGTCAGATGCTTAACCAACCGAGCCACCCAGGCGCCCCTCTGCACTTCAAAATTATGTATCTGGAAGGATATCACAGACGGGGTTTGACTGATTTGCAAAGATTAAGAATATGGGCTGTAGAAGAGCTTCGCAATAAGAGATGGGAATTGATAAAGCACGTCTTTTTCTTTAGAAATGTACTTCGATGTATTCAGCTTTGTAGTTGTCATCCCTGAGGACTTAATGAGATTTAGTAATTAATCTTACTCTTTATAATCCTCCCATCTTTCCTGAGAGTATGTGAACAAACTAGTGAACTCGGGTCTCTTTCAGAAAGAATCCGAGTCCCAGACCAAGGCTCTTACTTCACCGTCCTTGATCCTCACGGCGTCGGCTCTTTCCCGGGCACCGCCGCCCCTCGAGGCTGGTGCTATGAGTAATGTTGCCCCCGTGTGCCCACGGGGACCTGGCTGCCGGGTTCTGCCGTCCGTCCTTCCAGCACTGCTCCACTCAGGGGAAAGTCTGTCTGTGTGCGCAGAGGTTGGGTCCGACCCTCCAGCAGCGAGTGGTCTGTCTTCATCCTGCCTCCCTGGGAGGAGGCTCGGGACCCAGGGACAAGACGTTGCCGGGGGTGGTTCCCAGCCTCTGCTGATTGGCGTTTTCTCCTCCCACTTTTCCTCGTGTCTCATCCAGAGCGTGCCTCGGATCCTCTTGTTCCCTCCTCTCTCCTCCTCCCATTTTCCTCTCTCCCCGCCCCTCCTGCAGCCTCTTTCCTCCTGTTGGGACAGAATACCGGGTCCTATCTGAGCCCCACACAGCCACATCTGTCTCGTGTCTAGCTCTCCTGTCCCTCTGGGTGGCAGCAGCAAGCCTGCGAAGAATGAAAGAAAACCCTCTTGCTCAGCTCTGCAGAGGGTGTAATGAGAGCGCGTTAGCCTCAGAGGGCCAGGACGCGACCTCCAAGGGTTCCCAGAGCGACCTTGCGGAGGCAGGCACTCAGACGAGGGGCAGCAAGGGTGTCGGAGCCAGAGGACTTGGATTTGGAACCAGTCCTTCTCCTCACTGGGTCTCGGTTTCTTTACCTGTAAAATGGGTCTGGCGCCCCCCAGGTCACAGAGCTGAGTGACAAGTAAGACAAGGCGTGTGGGAGCGCTTCCTAAAGCGTCGGGCAAGCGGCAGGTGCCAAGTGTCATTGCCAGTGATGCGGATGCCCGGCCGACTTCCCAGGTGGACGTGGGACCAGGTGAAGGTCAGCCTCCAGTGGAAGTGGAAGTCTGCAGTGCAGACATCACTCGTTTGGTTGCTGAGCCTCACATGACACATTTTTCAGGGAAGGGCATTTATTTATGGCTGCTGGGTCAGGTGAGCTCGGCTCAAGACGTGTATCGGTTAGCTGGGCTGGCTGTCATGACTGATGGCCATGTCGGCGCGCCCGAGAGGAGGTGGGGTGACTGGCGAGGGGTGGCCGCTGGACAGCACAGCTAGTGGGCCAGAGATGGCCTCAGCCTGGGGGTCCCCTCAGCCTTGTTGGAGTTTTTTTTTAAGATTTTTATTTTATTTAATTTTAAATAATCTCCACACCCAGCGTGGGGCTTGAACTCACAACCCTGAGATCAAGAATCCCACGCTCCACCAACTGAGCACGCCAGGCGCCCTCCTCCCCTCAGCCTTCTAAGGAGAAGAGAAATGATACTCCTCGCTCGAGTCCTTGTGGCCAGAATTTCCAGGCAGCTCAGGTTTGGGATGCCAGTTATTGACTGCCTGCTGTTTTAGGAATATTTGACCATCTCTTATCAACAAAGGGTAGCAAAGGACATTTCAAGTAACTGTGCTTCTTGTCAGCCCTGTCAGATGCACTGGCTGAGCAAAATGGATGGCAGCGGGTGTTTTCCTGGGCTCCGAATTGGTTTTAATTCAGGGAGGGTGGGGATACGTTAAAACAAGAAGGCAAATACCCAGGGACACCTGGGAGACGTGCCCGTGGGTCATACTCTTTGCTGGGGTGCATCATGGAGTTCTACCCTGGAAACCCCGACTCGGAGGAGGTTTGATCAGACTCTGAGTTGCCCTGCGGTGCTTGGCGCCGCGCTGGGGAAGAAAGGGGTGTAGAGGGGCTTTTTAGAGTTTTGTTATTATAGTCAATCAAATAGACCACTAATCACCACTGTGCATTGGCTTTAAAAATCCCTAGACTTCCTCAGTAATTTTGTTGACCTGTTCAGCCCTGCTTAATGTAGCCTAGAATTAGCAGGCCAAAAAAGGGGCACTGAGGCATGCAGTATCCTAGGGGCTGCTGAGGAGGGCACTTCCTGTGTTTCCCGCCCCAGAGACAGCAGCGGCAGCAGGTCACAGGGAGGGGGTCGTGGGAAGGGGCCGGCCAGGAAGTGAGGGGGGCCCCGTGCTGGCTCCCCAGGCACCAGAGCAGCTTGGCCTTGGCCTGTGCATTCTAGCATTCAGGCTGCCTTCCCTCCCGCAGTGGTAAGAAGTGTTCACTTTTTAAACTACATATGGCTTTTTATATCATAAGTCAAATGCAATGAATGGGGAGAGAATTCAGACACGGTTCCAGGAAGCATTTAAAACGTATCAACGTTTTGTCCATGATGGTCTTTGAGAGAGAGGCAGAGATTAGAAGGAAATGGGCCTGCATTCTAGGAGATAGTAGGAGAAAAGGAAAGGTTAAGACATAAATGTAGGTAACGCAGTTCTGCTGTATAAAAGAGTAAACAATGGGAGAACACCTGATCTCT